TACTCGTCATGGAGGAATGACAAAATTTTATGTATTAACAGATATAGTATTTTTCCTGCATATAACTCATTTATTATTTGAGTTGAAATTTGTAAAATAAAATTAAAATATATTCTGAAATGTCAAGTATTTAGTTGAAAATAAAAATGAAATTATATAACAATATATTTTATATATTTATATATGAATATCAATAAACGCGAAATCGCCTCGACAGAACTTCATCAAAATTTCTTTCTCTGGAATTAAATCTTCTTTATATATATAATTTTAGTATGCTATCATAAATGATGTTTCTAGGAAATTTTATACGCATTAAAAAAAAATTATAATTAGTATTTTGTATTCAGTTTTATACTATATAATCTACATTTGATCAAGAAATAATTATATATCTAGCAAATTTTTAATCATCGCTTATATCAGCGTCCTTTGTTTCTCGACCTTAACTTCCAGTCTTTTGAGATTAAAGCATACATACGATACACAAAAGACTACTTACATTTATTATACCCTTGTAAAATTATAATTACTATACATATGCTTATACATAATACCTTTTTCCACGAGGGATGCAAAAGCTCTTTAATATATTTAATAGCGAACAAGGTAGATGATAGAAGACTTGCATTTTTTTTTTTGTAAACAACGATAGTTTGAATTCTTTGCAAGTTTGTTTTGTAAGCTGAGAATTTTATGGCGTTTTATCTGATATTATATTTCACTAGGAATATGCTTTGTTTGAAACGAAGCAGCGAAGTTATTTTATATGCAGTATGATATTATATAGAAAGTTTTTATCTTGGCCATATTATTAAAGCTGTAGACGAATTGAAATCTTAATGTTGTATGTTAATGCTTTTATATAAAACTGATATTATGACGATGATGAAATAAATTACAACCCTTAAGGCAAATCGCTGGAACTTCCCGTACCGTAACTGAATGTTCTCAAATAGATTATTTGTAACATTATCTAATATTTATAAGAATTATATAAACTGAATTGCAAAGTTGAAATTATTTGTTTAAAGTATATTAGAACTATAGTCAGAATTGAAAATTAAATCTGAATTATTTTCGATATACAAAAAAATTTTTTTGGGAAAAAAAAGAAATTTGAAAATAAAGTTGTGACAATTTTTTTTATCTAAAATCAATTATTTTGTTAAGACAAGCAGGAATTTCTTTGAATCATTCAAATCGGACGCTTAGTTTTTCACATTTAGCTCCGTATCTTCGAAATGGCTGGGCCTGCCTTTGCCAAAAACGAATAAACACTTCTCCCAATCATTACTAAATGAATATGTTTTAGATCATTCAAATCGGATGCTCCGTACTCTCAAATATTCGAATTCTATTTTCTGCACTCTTTGCTCTTTATCTCCGTAACCTGCCTTTGCCAAAAACTAATCAGCACATTTTCTTATCAATAGAAATCGAATGTTTTTTGAACCATTCAAATCGGTTGATCCGTGCGCCCAAAAACGTGACTGGAAAATTGTATCCATGCATACATACATACACACACACACACACATCCGTTTTTTCTGAGGTATGACAAAATGCTCAGAAATCTTCAAAACGTCGAGAAATGTAAAAATTTTCGATTTCGATTTTCGGCCCATTACAATAATAGTAAAAACGTAACAATATTTTTAACTTCCAGAAGAAAAAGTTTGTTTTCATAAAAAAATCCGATTCGCCAACTTTATGTTTTCTCGACGTTTCAAGCCATTCTGAATCGAATGAGACCTAATTAAACAACATTTAATTAAACTAAAAGCTTGAAATATCTGTAGTTTGTAATTGCATAAAATAAATAAATTGGGTTAGGACATTTCATTGCATCTATTTCGAGTTGTAAAATTGTATTTTATTTAATGGACAAAACACAAAGAAGATCTTCACCTTTTGCAGTGTTAAAAATTAGCAAAAAAAAATCTTCACGATAGAGGGTCTTAATTTAAAATTAAATATATGGCATATAGCGATAAATAACGTCATATGAAAATTTTTTTTACTTATATGCTTTGCTGGTTAAATTCTAATTATTTATAGTTTATAAATATAGTTCTTGAAGTGCATAATTCTTTTGAAAATCTTCAGTTAGTAAAATCTACATGCATAACGTATGTTTACACTTGTGAAGTTTCCACACCATATCACCTGGAAAATACACAACACCACTCATTTATTTAAACCATAGCAATCCTGTACCATCGTATCAGATGCAATATTTACCTACCCCCATTGCATAATTTTGTGCAATCTAGCTAATTCGAATCCGCGGCCGTATGAGCACATACATACATATACTTAAAACAACCTGTCTTTGCCTTGTACCATTACTAGTATAGGGAAATTCCAGAAACCACATGCATAACTAATTAAGGTGTATCTATCACTGTTAGCACTACGATTCGGTTACACTTTGTCGAATAACATCATTTGCAGTTCGAACATAGTTATATCGACTGATGCTCTTTACACATTTCGAGTGAATATTTAACGATAATCGGGGAGGACCGAGTTTAATTAATCCTGGATAAAGTTTTCTACTTAAGAATGGTTATCTTATATCAACGCACCTTAAGGTAAAGGAAGAGCTGGTTGCTGTTTCAGATTACAGAAAACTTCCCGTACCAAAAATTTTTTTTTTTAAAAAATTAACATTTTTGAAAAAAAATTACTTTAAAAAAATTAGATTTTTGAGAAACTATAAATTTAAAAAAAAAAATTTTTTTTGGAAAAAAAACTTTTTCAAAAAAAATGTTTTCTTTATTTTGAAATATTTTGGAAGTTCTAAACTTTTTTTTCAAAGCGCGTAAGCACCGTGTCGCCGTCTAACGGATAAACATTGGTACGGAACCCATAGGAATGTAAACAAAATTTATACTTATTGTTAAAATCTTTATAAAATATCTGATAATTTTATGTGCATATGTCTAATGATCATTTTTTGACCGCCAAATGGCATTTTTTTAACTTTTTTCATCAGATCTTTGAAACTGCTAGACCTGCCTATGCCAAAAACTAATTAGCACGTCTCCTTGTCAACAACAATCGAATGTTTTTTGAATAATTGAAATCGGTTGAACCGTGTTCCCAAAATTGTCGACAAAAATTTGTATCCGCACACACACACACACGTATACACATACATACACACACACACATACAGCCATAGACAGATTTGCGAGAGAGGTACTAATTGACCTGCGCTCTACGGAAAGAGAAAGGACGAATGGGACTTCGCCCACTTAAAAGATGAGTATAAAACAAGTTAAGAGTTATAACATTCTAGATCCTGCCTCCACGAAGTAATGCTTAACGGCGGTTACCGTGAGGACCAGAGACAAGGGCAAAGCGGAGGTTTTAGTCGGAATTATACCAGAGCGGTATTGAGTCCGACATACCCAGACAGAAGAGCAGTCATTTCCTTCGCTATACAAAAAAAGCCATTTTTTCTAAGGTATGCCAAAATGTTCTAAAACCTCTAAAACGTCAAAATATATAAAAACTTTCATTTTCGATTTTTTTGCGATTACTATAACTTAGTTAAAAGTACTATAAGTTAAAATCGGAGCTTAAAAGTAGTTTACCATTAACTCAAAAACAATTACAATATGGTATTTTTCAATAATACTATTTTAAAGTAGAGGGCAAAAAATTAATAACGAAATAAACGGCCACATTGTTGATTTTTAAGCATAAGCATAATTTCTAAGTTCTTTTTTAGTTTTTTGGAGCACTGTTATTTAGTTTGCAATACCTGAATATAATTTTTGAGCATACATAATTTAATAGTTCATTGGGTAATGTGTTATTTTCTAATAAAGTACGACAGTTTTTTTGACTTCCCGTAGGGTAAGCTATAGTAATGGGTCAAAAATCAAAAATGAAACTTTTTGCATATCTTCACGTTTCAGAAGTTTCTGAACCATTTGGCAAACATCAGAAAAAGTTCATGTGTGTTTTGCATGTCCACAATCTTTTGTCCACGATTTCGGGCGCACAGATCAACCGATTTGATTGGTTTAAAAAAAAATTTTCGGATTTGTAAAATAACTCAGATTTTAATTTTAATTTTGGCTAATGTTTCAAAGCTCACTTATATACTTTAAATAAATAATTGCAAATTTGCAATTGAGTTTATATAATTCTTATAAATATTAGACAATGGTACAGTATGTATAATAATCTATTTGAAAACATTTAATTTTCTTCGAACATTTCGTTACGGTACGGGAAGTACTAGCAATTTGCCTTAAGACACGATGACATACACCACTAGTTTTATATAAAATCTAGAACAGCTTATGTGCTTAGGGTAAAAAGAACAACGTGGACTTTTACTCTAGCAACGAGAACATATTAATAATATTAAGAAAATAATAAATAAGAAAGTAAAATAAGTTAAAAAATTAAATTAGTAGTTATTCTAATTCTGATGATAAACACACAAATTATTTTGAAAATCGCTAAACCGACCTTCAGAACAAAATAATTGAGCAGTCATACTAATTATGACTAAGAATAAAAATATTGATTTTGAAAGGTTAAGTTAAAATTTATATGCATATAAAAGATGTCCATCCTGACCATAAGTTCTTGATCAAAAAAGTATGATTGCTTTTCAAATAATTTATTTGTATTCTTATTTACTAAAGAATAGTAAAATTGAGAAGCAAAACGTATGGAAGAGTATAATTTTTTTTTATTCCATTATAAAAATTAATTCATATAAGAATGGTTATATAAACGTTTCCCAGATCTTCGTTTATATTTTATCTAACTCGTTTTGTTGGAGTTATGATCACGGAATAACGTTTCGTTGTCATGCAAATGATGGCGGTTTAATTAAATCGCTTTTGTTTAAGAAAAACCCGGAAATTTTCTTTAATATCCCAAGTTTGAAATAAACGTTTTGGTTAAAATATTCAAAATTTATATATATATATATATATATATATATATATTGATAAAATAAATATATCTTACCAAACGAGAAAACAAATATCAAATGCAATAGAAGAATAATTGTAGTAACTCACCTGAAACAGAAAGAAAAATATATTAGCAAATATTAATGACAAATTATTTACAGCTTATATATATATATATATATCACATAAATACTTATTTAATGAAAATTTTATTTAATACAAATATTACCTATGTAAAATTTTAATAATAACACATTATTTTCAACAAAATTTTACAAAATTTTGGTAATCAATTTTATATGTTTAAAATACTCATTAATTATTTTGTATCTGCATTCTAAATCAAACTACCATATGGTTTCATAAATCAAATCATGTATGACATATTAAATGATAAATATTTTATTTAAATTGACAAATCTAATGATTAATTAAATTATGGAAACTCAATAAAACGTACAAATAGTGCATTACTACCAAATAGAAATAAATTTACTAGAAATAAACAAATATAATAATAAAATATTATAAATATAATGATAAAATATTAAAATAGAATATAGTAAATTTGTATCTATTAATATCAAAGCACAGTTTAGTATAATAATCGATCGTTTTATATAATGAATTAATTCCGTTAATTAAAATTAAACGATATTTTAGTATTTTTTTTTATCAAATATAGTTAAATGTTTACTTCAGAATTAAATAAATTGTGTTTTAAAATTAAAATTTTTGTACTTAATACTACATATTTAGTAAACCATAAACTGTACAATATTATTTAAAATAATTCTATTTTCTAACACACTTCTCATAACAATTTTTTATTTTTTTTTAAATTATTATTTCTCGTAACGCCATACATTATGAAAATAGATATGTGATATTAATAAAAATTGTTAATAGAATATATCTTAAAAAATATGAATAATTACTATACTATATTATTAATTAGTAAATTTTTTTGATAACTTAAGCAGAAGGGGATCAAGATACCTTATATGACATATTTATAAAACATACTAAAATCAGTCAAAAATAAAATTGTCGTTGATATATAGTTAATGATATTATTATAATACTATTGGTCACAATAATAATAATAATAATATTAATGTAAGTTTTATTTCTAAGTTTCAATATCATATTTTGCCTAATGTTTTTGACAAAGGCCATAACCCCGGATAATTTAAGTCTAAGAATATAATTCACATAATCGTAAATGTCATTAAACTGTGCCATATAAGCCATGTAAATACGCATTCAATTAATTAGCTGTACATGGGGAGCTTCTGTTAAAGTTAAAAGATATTCTTGTAACACGTTCAGTGCTAAGCCTGGGTGTAATTAAATATTTTATTACTATAATAATTTCGCGAAGTCAACGGGCAGAACGCTACGCATTTGGATATAATAATTAGTCGAAGAGCTGACTGGAATAAATAGGTCTATCTTTACTTATAAACACTTTTAAAAAAAACAGTTATAAATTTGTATGGTATTTAGTTTCTTGTAAAACTATTGTAACTTCACATTTTATTATACAATCTCTATATTTTTTGAAAAAATTACTCTTTATTATATAGAAACCTGTTAACTGTTTGTGCGCATCGGGAAATATTTGTATTGTGACAATACAACCCCCGATAAAAATAAATTGTTTTCAAGTAAAATATGAATTAAAATTAAAAATTAATATTGATGTGATAAACCATTTTAATCTAGAATAGTATTGAGACCTTCATAGATTTTGAAAACCGATATCACTACTGAATATCGAACTTGTATCTTTCTGGTTGCCTTTTCAATTATATAACAATAATATCTGAAAATATTCATAATATATACTAAAATATTTTGTTTTATAAAAAATAATTAATATACTTATTTTGACCATTTTATTTAATTATTTTATATAATTAGATGTATGTATGAATATATATTTGTACATTCTTAAACTCTCATTTTTAATTGAAGAATTTATATACTTGGCCTTCTTGCAGAATAATAATCTTGTGTAAATATTATAAAAAAAAAGCCTAAACTCAAATTTTCTGTGTCAGATCCTTCGACAAACATGGTTTATAGCGGTGTTTGGGCTTTTTTAATTAAATATTTTTCTGTGTAAATTTGTACTTTTGTAAATTAAACTTCTAGGCGCAAACAGACAAATACGTGCGTTCATTAGAGGTGTTTATATTTTTTCAGGAAATTAGTATAACCTGAATAAAGTTAATTATTTCGTTACATTTTTGGAATTGTTAATTAAAATAGTATAAATTATAATCTATATTGACACTATATTTAATATAACATTTGAAACCAAATATTTTGATTCAATTTAATAAATCAAAGTGAATTTCATATGTATCGTGATTAAATTTTCAAAATCTATCAATATACTATTTGTATTGAATTTATCTGTTTTCACACGATAGGTGTTTTGAATTTAATATTGAATTGGGATATTAATAAAAGTTTTCAAAGAAATCGAGTTTTCGCAAAATTGCAAATTTTCAAAAAATATTAATAAATTACAAGAATTTTAAAACTACCAAATAATTCAAAGTTTTCAAAAAGTCAATTTTTCATAAGACGAGTTTTTCGAATGCCACCACATGGTTTATCGCGGCTGAATTATGTAGGTTTTGTTTATACATATATATTTACATCTCTTGTAAATATACACATAAGTAGTGAATTATTGAATGGCCAATGTCTGAAAAGTGAATAAATTTACGAAACTTACTATTGAATTTATCTGTTATTATTTAATATATTCTACAAGTTCAGTGTTTAGTCAATAAAAATCAATCATTAAAAGAATCGATTTTTTGGGATCGTAGTTTTTCATAGATGTAAAGGTCTGTGTAAGATCTTCGATAGGCAACGATAAAAATAGTTGTTTGCAAAAAATTCTTGATTTATAGCATTACATGACGTTACATTCTAAAAATCCGTATGTTTTTCTTCTAAAAGAATAAAAAAAAACCAAGCTTCAGGATGCAATTTCTAAATTGGATTAAAACTCCACATTTCTCGATAAGTATAATATTGCACATTTGTATGGAAATTCACTATATTATTGGTCAATCAATGATATGTCTTATAATTAATATGCCTTAAATATTTTTAGTAAAACTTCGGTAGTAATTAGAAATCATTTTTGTCATATCTGACAATATATATTGTTAGACGTTTCTATTATTAATTTAGCGCCCTGTGTGATGGATATAATTTACACTCTAAAATTATCTTTTTTGTCCAAAAAAATATGGGAGCATCAAGCTGTCGGATGCAATGTCTATAAGCTAAATTGATTTCCAACTCAAAAATTCATTCTTTCCTTTTTTCAAAAAATAGATGAAACAGCTGCACATATAATTACTGTTTCATTTGTATGAACAACCGATGATACTATGTAGATATTATAATTACTTTTCATTGGAATATCTTTAGTACTACTTCATAAATGGCTCGCCATTTTTATCTGATTCAAAAATAACGTATTGCTATTCTCAAAAATGCATAAATGTGCCATAATGCCACATGGGAATTTTTCCTGTCGCATTGCACTACACTAAATATAACTCGATTCGCAGCAGAATGTTTTTATCTATATTCTGAATCATTTATATTATTCCCCGACATCTTTTCCGTGACTTCAAATACGAGTTAAGGTTTTGGCATCAAGACAAAATATCAAGAAAATGATAAAAGTTAGCAACCATACTTATATAAGATGAGTGCAAATATGAGAACTTTTAGATAAAAATGTCAGTGTTTAAAATTTTGTAGTACATAATTATATTTGATAATAAGTTGCACCAATATTGGGAATAAAAAAAAATCAATTTTAATTTTATTGTTTATTTTTAACTTTTCCCGAAGGAGAAGTTTATGTTTTCATCAAAAAATTCGACATGCTAATTTTATGTTTTCTCGACGTTTCAATCCATTCTGAATCGAATGAGACCAAATTTGTGTGTCTGTGTGTGTGTAAACACATTTTTGCCGTAAATCGAGGTTTTCTCCCAAACGGCTGGACCGATTTCAAAAATTTAAAAAGCCATTCGATGGATGGGGACTAGTGTTTCTGAGTTTGGCGTGACGATCGGCCGAACCATTTTTTTGTAAATCGCAGAAAAGTGAAAAAATTTTAGTCTACGTTTTAGCCCGCAATTTTGAATCGATTTTGAAAATTCGAAAACCGTTCGAAAGTTAATGGTTGGGAATCGTGCTGATTAGTTTTTGGTAAAGATAGACCAAGCCGTTTTCTTGTAATAAAGTTTAAAAAAAAATTCGACGATTCTTATGATTTTTTTTGACGGTAGATATCATAGTCCTGTAGATCATACTAAAATATTACGGCCCTACGAGAAGTTAATGTAACTTGCCTCAAGGCAAGATACCAATACCAACTAGTTATATCTCAAATATTTCGTTACAATACAGGAAGCAATTTGTCTTAAGGCACAATACTATGGACCTTAAAGTTTGTTGGTTTGTTGGAGCTGGTGATTCCTTCATTAATTTCATGCTAACAAAAATAGCAAAAAATAGAATAAGAATTTGCACGCTATATGACTTGATAAAATGTCCTTCATGCTAATAGTACTAAAATAGATTAAAAATTAGCATTTTTAGTGCAGTAAACGGAGAGGAAAAAAGGGTATAACCTCTGAATTTTTTTACTGTGCTCCAAATTTCATGAAATTTTGGAATTAGGTTCATCTTATCCTCAAATTCAAAAGTGAAAACAATTCGGGTTGCGCCATCACCCCCCGGGGGGATGACCCCCCTTCTCAATTGTGTAATTACATTTTTTTAAAATAACGTCGGAAATCGATAGAAGAGCTAATTATAATAAAAAAATGTCTTCTATAGTTTTTCAAAAAAACTAATACTTTTCAAGTTACTGGCCACTAAAGATTCATATATTTTTGGCGTTTTTCTTCGTCTTTTTGCAAATATCTCCTAAATTATACATTTTAACGAAATTCATGTAATGAACAAAATAATGTCAATAAAAATCTTAATAAATCGGTATTACATAAAGTGTTCTAGGAAAAATATTAAGCAAGATTTGAAAGAGCAAAGTCGTT